CACCAGACCTAGTTCCCATCCTTATTTGTCCGTGTATGTCTAGGTACCATGTAGTCAAGAGCGTTCTTTTGTTATTTCAGCCCTGCGTCCATTCGCTTGCGAGATTTGTGGCAAAACCTTCGCGACGAGGGGAAACTTGAGGCGTCACATTGATAATATTCACAAAAGTATGCCATTTCCTAACTCACTTGATTCGCAAATGCAATTTTTGTTCTAGTCTCGGAAAGCCTTCTATTTAACGTTAAGTTCAGTCAGCTGTGCTTTCATTGTTTTTTGCTATTCCCCTCACCCCAAATGTCAATGTGAATCCGCTCCTATCTTCATCGCTCGGAGAGGAGGGTTGTGCTCCACTTGCTGATGACAAAGTCATTGAGTGGGTTGACCACAACCAAACGGGCTGGCGCCTGCTTGATGAAAGGAAGCTTTTCTACCTCTTGTAGGACCGGCTCTGTAAGCTGAGGTGTTCCCATGATTGGCTCATAGGTTTCTCCTGCACAGGAATTACTTTAGAACATTCTAAAAACCACATTGCACAATTTTAAGCGGACCATGAATTACGTCATATATCTACTCAACCTTGTTGTGCAAGAGGCCTTGCGCAGAGATCGGCCGAGCTGGATGTGTATAAGAACGCCAGGTTGATTCCGTGTAGGATAAACTCATTGCTGTTGCTGCAAAGGACGTTAGACGTGGCAAGTGCGAGGCTTTTGTCTATATACTCCTCCTTTGGCATTACTGCGTGGTTCGAACCGTCTGCTGGACCGGCATCTAGGGTCTCACGGTTTATTTTTTTTCAACTTTCACTGTCAGCCTTATTTAAAGCCACAGCGCCTTTAACTTGACGTATGTCTGTATGCCAACCTATACACAAAGACGGTCCCACCCTTTTTTGCGTTTAACGCAAGCGTAAGCACGACCAGTATCCTGCGGACCTTGCGTTGTGTGGTCAACTTGCACAGCATCTAACTCACGCTACTCCCACCCCCTTGCCCACTCCTTCATTGAATCTAAGTTGGTTATGGTTGAAAATGGTAGATAACCTGCCCGCGGTTGCCACCAACGAGCTGATTCTTCTTGCCTGTGCCAGGCTCGAATCTCACATGACGGCCACACTGGATGCATGCACTACAGCCCTAACGCCGAGTAGCCCTGTGATGGATCAGACAGTCTACCAAGCCACGACTATGAGCGCCCGCATCCTTGATTTGTTCATCTGCGTTCGTCAGTCGGTCTATCGGATACTGACTGTGACTAAGCCTTCGCCGGCGTCTCCGAACCCCACTTTGAAACTGCCTACGAAAATGCCGGAGTGGGCTGGAATTGAGTAAGAACTTAAAGTCGAAAGAGATTATCATTCCGACTGGCAATCATCCATTGCCGACCAGGCAGATTCCCCATCGTAAAAGAAACTTTGTGGTGATATCTGGCGTCCGTAACAACAAATATCTAG